TGCTGATTGCTCTCTCTTCTTGTCTACCCTTTCCTTCTATAGCTTCTGCCATTCTGCTTCTTTTTTTTTGGTTGTTGTTTTTACTATCTTTCTGGCCCTTTTATTCATTCTCCTTTGCTAGGTCATCATTCTCCTATCTCCCACTAAGTTTGGGTGTCTCGTAGTGCTCTCCTTGGCCTTTTCCCTCTCTACACTCTCTTCCTTTGGGATCTCATTGGCTTCTATGGGTACAATGATCAACGATCATTGATTAAAGCAATCATCTTGATAGAAACAAGATAACTTTTAAGTGTATATACCAATTAAAACTGAGATGCAACAAAGTATGGATTGATTCTCTGCTGCTTGTGCTAATTTTGGCCTAGCAATTAACACCAAGAAAACACTGATGCTCCATCAGTCACCACTACACCATCCATATGTAGAACCATCAGTTACAGCAAATGGAGAAGTTTTGAATGGTGTGGATAAGTTCACTTACTTTGGTAGTGTACTTTCTAGGGATATACACATTGATAATAGGTTGACACATGCATTGCCAGAACTAGCTCAGTGTTTGGGAGACTCCAAAGGAAAATATGGGAGAGAAGAAGTATTAGACTGACTACCAAGCTGAAGGTCTACAGAACTGTTGTGCTGACCTCATTGTTCTATGCCTGTGAAACCTGAACAATAAACTAGCGCCATGCCAGAAAATTGGATCATTTCCATTTGAATTGTCTTAGGAAGATTCTGACGATCACCTGGCAAGATAAGATACCGTACACTGAGGTCCTTTCTTGAACTAAACTGTCAAGCATTCAGACTGCTTCAGAGAGCACAACTTCAATGGGCTGGCCACGTTGTTTGAATGCAAAATGTATGTTTGCCAAAAAGACTATTTTATGGAGAACTCATACAGGGCAAGCGTTCACATGGTGGTCAGAAGAAGTGATACAAGGACACTCTCAAGGTCTCTCTCAAGAACTTTGGAATTGATTGTGTGACATGGGAGACACTGGCATAGGACCACTCAGCATGGTGTGCCCACATCAGAGAGGGTACTGTGCTCTATGAGCAAAGCAGAATTGAAATAGCCCATGAGAAATGCAAGATACACAAACTTAGAGGATCCACCCCAAAGGTTCATACAGACTATTTGTGCCTGACCTGTGGCAGAGCATTCTGAGCTCGTATTGGTCTGATCGGCCACAGTCAGACACACTGAAACTTAACTCTAGAATAATGATGTCATTTTGGTCCTCTCTGAAAACAAAGGACAACAACTAACTAACCAACCCCAATCTCTCCTGAACTTTAGCTCCACAATACCTAGGCATCTCCACTGTGTGTTCTGAGGGCATAACAAATTCCACATGTCCAAAATGGAGCTTCTTAAATTTTCCCCAAACCCCATCTGTCCTCTAAATTTCCCTATCTATGTTAATTAGCATCATCATCCTTCCAGTCACCCAGTTTTGCAGCCCTACAGTTCTCTTTGATTTTTCCTGTCCATCAACCACTACACACAAATAGTTGCCAAGTCTTATTGATCCTAACTCCACATCTTTCCAATCCATCACCTCTCCAAACATGCAGTTTTTACAGTAGTTCTGGTCCTTATTATCCTTTGCCCATACTATTATAATAGGTTCCAAAGTGCTTTTCCTCCTTCCAATTTCCAGCTCTCCAAAATCTTCCACTGAGCTGCCAAGCAGATATTCCCAAAACACAGATCTGACCATGTTACCCACTCTCCACACACATTCAACAATCTTTAACGACTCTATTCTGTCTAAAATAGAGATATAAACTCATCAGCCTGGCATAACCCAGAATCTGGCTCCCACCTAACTTTCAAGTCTTATTTCAAATTACTCCCTTTTACACATTCTCCATTAAGTCATACTGACCTACCGATACTCAAATCCCATCTTTAGCCTCTGTGGTTTTGCACAGGTCATCACCTATATCTAGAGTGCACTACATGTTCAATTTGACCCTTTGGAATCTCTAGATTCTCTTAAAGGAGAGCTCAAATGCTACATCCTGTCCCCCACATTTGTTAGCAAACTCTCTCTTAAAATTCTTTGTATTTCTTATTTAAATATATTCCCTCAGTAAAATGCAAGCATCTTGAGGATAATTTTAATTTTTGGTAAATTTATTAATTTTATAAAGTAATTATGATATATTACATATTAATTTATAAACAAATAAATTTCTTAATTTTAACTAAAAATATTTAATTTTTTATCTTTGTTTTGGCAACCCCCAGCACAATATCTTACATATAATTATTGTTATTTGGTTGTATCCAACTTTATGTGACCCTATGGACAAAGTCCATGGGGTTTTCTTGGCAAATTTTACTGAAGTGGTTTGCCATTTCCTTTTTCAGTGTGTCCCTATTTTTTTTTTAGGCAATTGGGATTAAGTGACTTGACTGGGGTCACACAGCTAGTGTCAAGTGTTTGGTCTGAGGCTGGATTTGAACTCAGGTCCTCCTGACTTCAGGGCTCATGCTCTATCTACTGCGCCACCTAGCTGCCCCTGTGCATCCCAGTTTTCCAAATGAGAAACTGAGGCAAATAGAGGTTAAGTGACTTGCCCAGGGTCACATAGCTAGTAAGTGTCTGAGGTTAATTTGAACTCAGATCTTCCTGACTCCAGGCCCAGTACTCTATCCACTGTATCACCTAGCTGCCTTTTACACATAATACATGACATAAATATTTAATGAATGTTTGTTGAATTCATCTGAATCAAAAGGTGGCTTTTTTGTTTATCTTTATCATGGTCAAGTTTCTTGGGAGATGACGTCCCTTTGTAACCTTTGGATGCCTTATAAAACCAACTTCTCTAATAGTCCAATGAGCAACTATAAACCATTGTTCTATTTAACTGCAACTTCCTTTTTGCTTCTGGATTAATTTAAAGCAAGAATGGCACTCTTGGAATAATATAGTTCCTCCAGCAATAAGTCAATTCTTGGGTGATTAGAGAGGGATCTCACATTTAGACAACCAATAGTTAATTTAACTATTATTTAAACATTAATTTAATGTTTAAAGGCAATCTAAAAATTCTGATTCTTATCACCCCCCTCCCCAGCCCCCTTTTCTACTTCTCTACCACTTCACTGCAGGAGAGACTCGCAATGACCTAAGGACTATTTTGTATTTTTCATTGTTTCATGGATTGCCATGAGCAGCAAATTAATCACCAGCCTACTATTGGGGGTGAGCCTGTTCATAATTAACCAAGCCATTACTTCTTACAGTAAATACACTCTGTACCTGAAGACTTTCCAGGATGAGGAATCAGAACTTTATCTCTGCTGTAATAATTTTTGAGAGTCCAAGATCATCTTCCTACTATTATGAGGCATCAGAGTAGAGTACAGAAGAAATTATTAGACACCAAATAGATGAATTTGGTTATAGCAAAATAATGATCTTGTGTACAAACAAAGCAATGTATCCAGAATAAAAGGGAAAGAAACAGATTGGGGGGGGGGGAAACCTTTGCTGTGAGCATTTCTAATAAAAGTTTTAACATCAAAAAATCTATAAAGAATTGACACAATTTTCTAAGTTGTAATTTCTCAGTAGATAATTCTCGGTAGGTGGTCAAAGCATGGAAGTTGACAGTTTTGAAAAGAAACACAAATTATCAATAAACACTTGCAAAATTGTTTGAATTCTCTGATAATTAGAGAAATATAAATTAAAACAACTCTTAGGTACTACTAATTTGGTACTAATAATTAGGTACAACAACTTAGGTACATACTAATTTGGAAAAGGTAGGTAAAAACAATAAAATTCAATGATCCACAATGTGGATCCTTTGACCCTGGATTATATTGGTGATGGGATTGTGAATTGATGCAATCTTTTTGAAAAGCATTAAGACATTATATATAGAGAACTACAAACTTGTTCATACCCTGTGACCCAGTGATTCCATTAATAAGACCATATCCCAAGAATATTATTGAAAAGTGTTTTTTCTTAACATTTTTTTTCTTTTTAGGCAATTGGGGTTAAGTGACTTGCCCAGGGTCATGCAGCTAATAAGTGTCAAGTGTTTGGTCTGAGACTGGATTTGGACTCAAGTCCTGCTGACTTCAGGACCGGTTCTCTATCCGCTGAGCCACATAGCTGCCCTGAAAAGTGTTTTTTTTTTAATCTACTTGTACAAAAATGCTCTTACAAGCATTATTCATAATAACAAAAAAAAAAATAAACAAAACCTATGTATCCAGTGATTAGAGACTGGTTAAACAACCTCTGGTATCTGCATATGTTATTATACTATAAAAGATGGACAAATATGAAGAATACAAAGAAATACAGGGAAATCACAATATTAATAATCATACTGATTACAATTATATAAACAAAATCTAGAAAAATGTATAGAAGACAAAATTCAGAAATGGACATGGAAACAAACAAGCCAATTTGGTTATCATTTTGTTAATGTGAGGGTACTGTGCCTTGATCTTTGGCGTAATAAGAATACATCAATAAAACATTTAAAAATAAAGTTAATATGCTTATTTAAGAGTAAATTATATATAACAAAAGGTCACAGTTTCATTGAGATCTTTTAAAATTCTTGTTTGAATATGTGAATATATTTATATTTGTAATTGGTTATTCAGTTTATGGGCAGCTGGGTGGCGGTGTGGATAGAATGCAGGGACTGAAGTCAGAAAGATTCATCTTCCTGAGTTCAAATCTGGCCTCAGACATTTACTAGCTGTGTGACCCCAGGCAAGTCACTCAACCCTGTTTGCCTCAGTTTCCTCATCTGTAAAATAAACTGGACAAGGAAATGGCAAACCACTCCAGTATCTCTGCCAAGAAAACTCCAAATGGATTATCTCTGCTGTCATAATGGTATCACCATAACCCCAAATGGTTCAAAGAGTCAGACATGACAAACAACTGAACAACAAATTCAGCTTATAATCAATTATACTTTTAAAATTGAAGGTCCCTTTAAGCTCTAAAATAAGGGGAGTGGAGTCAAATTTGTTTCTTTATCAGATATTCAGAGAGGACACTACCAACATCAACTTGATCTATAGATAGAAATGAGAAAAGTCACACACGTGGAATCTTATTTAGTGTCATCCAGAAATATTCATCTGGATTGTAAGCATCCTTAGACCACTGGGGCAAACCTGTGGCTAGATCACTCCCAAGAACAAAATCAACAAACTTCCTTGTGAGGGCAACATAGGCAGAACCAAAGTAGATTGCTAGCTTTTGGGAAGGAAAAGACTTTAAAACGTGGGTCCTCTTTACATAAGAGCCTTGTTCACTTTTATATTCCTTGTGGACATACTTTAATCTCTCAATATGATCCCAAGGCCTTGGGAAACTTGGGGTAGTATATTTCCCTTTGAATTGTTTCAGATAGTTAACTATTTCTTTGTTGGTTTTCAGTGGGAAATCCTGCCCACAGGTGTTGACTGTGCTGATTATATACTTCCACTGACGCTTCAGGGGTACAAGGTCTTTCATGCAGTTCAGGTTAGCCTGGAGCCTGGATATTCCACCATAGACAACTGGCTCCATCTTGGAGGCAAGGAAAGCATTAGGAAAGCAGCTCACCAGTCTCCTCACAGCATCTTTAAATTTAGTTGGGGCTTTTTCATCCACATGAAAACAGTAAACATTTTGGAGCATGTACATTGCCCTGAAGAGCCTTTCAAAGGTATTAAAATCTTTGTGTATGACCATTATGTATGCCAAAGGATGTGAGGGACTGTCTGATGTTGGCAGCTACCAGGTTGGGCGCTGTGGCAAGAGTAGGGTAAGATCTGGGTATTTTGGAAGTCGAGGCAGGGGCTGTGGTAGGCAGAGTCGTGGTGAACTGGGATGGGCTGGATACGGAGAAGCCCTGAGGCAGTGGGCAGTGCTATGTGAGATAAGCTGGGTGCAAGGAAGTAGCCGGAGCTTGTGCTCCTGAGGCAAGGGGCGGTGCCACGTGGGAGTGGGATGGCAGAGGACTGAGTTCCCTTTGCTTAGTCCCCTCCCTATATGCTACGTCATCCCCAGACGCCTCCATCTTGTGACCTTCCTGACTTCCTGGGTCCCTTTGTGTAACACTGACCCCAGACTCCTCCTCCCAGTATCTGAGTCTGACTTCCTAGGTCACGTACTCTGTCTATGCATTAATCCCAGATGCCTCCTCCCTGTATCTGGTCCTAGCCTCCTATGTCACTCCCTACCCCTTGGTGTGCTAAACTCAGACAGCCCCTTCCGGTATCTGACCCTACAATCATTGGCTAGTAAGCGGGCTGGGGAGGAGGGGCTAGGTAGGTATTTAGGAACAAGCGTGATCAGATCACGTGCTCTCTCTCCTGGCTCCTGCTCTGTTGCTCTGGCCTTGCTGCTTGGGCTTGCTATGATGGCTTGCTGTGATGGCCTCTGAATAACGCTCTGGTGTTGGCGCCTCCCGATGGCTCATCTCTGTGTGTTTATCCGGCTGAGGACCAAAGACTCGGAAGTGAGTATGACTCTGGTAGCCTGCTCTTTATAGGAGGAGAGGGTACGGCGTGCAGCGGCAAAAGGTCGGCACGGCCAGTACAAGAGGATATTAATTTTCTTCTTTGAATAAAGGGGATATAATATAATGATTCTGGATCACACATTCCTTGCAAGGGAGTTTACCAAATGACAATGTTAACACTTCTTTATGAAATGAGACCTTCCTTTCTGTGGCTTCATTACAAATATCTTTCAGGGTATGGGAATCTTTGGCTAATGGAGGCCTCCTATAACTTTTGGAAAATTGTAATTGGTTACTGTAACACAACAACCAAATAACCACAATCAGGAATGGCAAGGAGATAATGCCTCCAAAAAAAAGAAAAACTTCTTTTCAGTGATTGAGAAATCGTAGGTTCCTAAAGGGATAGAATTTACTTCCTGGCTTCCAAATCCCACCTCTGGGAACTGTTGGATTTGACTTTTTCAACTGTAATGAGTTTTCCAGATTCCAAAGGTGGCATGTTTTAAGCCATGTTGGCACACTTTTGGTTCATTTCCTACTTCAGTATTTGCTAAGGATGCTTCTCTCTCCTGGTAGAGATGCTATATATTCAGCTCCACATGTGTAAATCTGTGGAAAGTGAAAAGTCTGTGGAAAAAAATAGGTAGTTGAAATTAGCCAATTTCATTATGAAAGGGTGTGAAGATCTTTGCCACAAGCCTTGATTTCTCCTGTTCCAGTACTTGCACTCTCACCTTTCAACCTACTTATTCTGTTTTCCCTTTAATTCCATATCCCCTCCCCCTATTTTATACTCCACAGCTTTCAAGTCCCTTAGGTCAGTACCTTGTAGGATATTTTGCTGGACCTTCTTATAATAATGATTCAGAAAATCTACTTAAGGATAATTTTAGCTGATTGGTTGTATTATGATAGAAAGCCTTATTAGCCAGTGAATGAACCTGCCAAGTGGATTTGTTTATCTTGTATCCATGGCAACCAAGGTTCACTGGGCATTTCCTTCCAGCAAATAATAGGATGTTTTTAACTTTAAACATCCAACTACCCTATTGCCCTTGCTCTGAACTGTTCTGTTCTGGTCACATGAATTAGTAATTTAATTGTGTTTTCACATCCTTCTGGACAAGTAATGGAAAACATTTTTGAAAACAGACATCACGTGGACATTTTTCTATAAGATCCTGATTTCTCCTGATCCTTCACAAATTTAGAAAAGCTGGTCACTCAATAGAACAGAAGGTGAAATGAAGCCAAAGCCCAAGAATACATAATCATCAAAACTCAGCCATTGAACCAAAGTGTTGATTTATGTGGAGTTTTTTAAAATAAAATTTTATTTTTTCCCACTTGCATGTAAAAACAATTTTGAACATTCTTTTTTTAAGTTTTGAGTTCCCAATTGTCTCTTCTTTTCTCCCCTCCTTCTTTCCTGAGACTGTAAGCAATTTAACATAGGTTATACATTTCAGTCATGCAAAATGTATTTCCATATTAGTCATGTTGTGAAAGAAAACACAGACCAAAAAAAAAACCCACAAAAAAAATAAAATGAAAAATAGCATGCTTCGATCTGCATTCAGATTCCATGGATAGCATTTTTTATCATGAGTCCTTTGGAATTCTGTTGAATCATCGTATTGCTGATAATACCTAAGTTATTAACAGTTGATCATTGTACAATATTGCTGTTACTGTGTACAGTGTTCTCCTGGTTCTGCTCACTTCACTTTTTATCAGCTCATGTAAGTCTTTCCAGGTTTTTCTGAAACTATGCTGCTAGTCATTTCTTATAGGACAATAGTATACCATTACAAGCATATACCACAACTTGTTCAGCCATTCTCCAATTGATGGGCATCCCCTCAATTTCCAATTCTTTGCCACCACAAAGAGAGCTGCTATAAATATTTTTGTACAAATAGGTCCTTTTCCTTTTTTTTTTAATCTCTTTGGGATACAGAACCAGTAGTGGTATTTCTGGGTCAAAAGGTATGCACAGTTTTATAGTTCTTTGGACATAGTTCCAGATTTCTCTCCAGAATGATTGGATCAGTTCACAACTTTACCAACAATACATTAGTATCCCATTTTCCCACATCCCCTATAACATTTATCATTTTCCTTTTCTGTCATATTAGTCAATCTGATAGGTGTGAGGTAGTACCTCAGAGTTTTTTTTAATTGGCATTTTTCTAATCAATAGTGATTCAAAGCATTTTTTCATATGATTATAGATAGCTTTGGTTTCTTCATCAGAAAACTGCCTATTCGTATCCTTGGAACATTTATCAACTGGGAAATGACTTGTATTCTTATAAATTTGAGTCAATTCTCTATAAATTTGAGAGATGAGGCCTTTATCAGAGACATTTGAGGTTAAAAAAAAAACTCTCACCAGTTTTCTACTTTTCTTCTAATCTTGGCTACGTTGGTTTTGTTTGTGCAAAACCTTTTTAATTTAATATAATAAAAATTATCCATTCTGCATTTCATAATGCTCTCTGTCTCTTGTTTGGTCATAAATTCTTCCTTTTTTCATAGATCCGACAAGTGAAATATGTATCCATTTTGACCTTATTTTGGTATATGGTGTGAGATGTTACTTTAAATGGAATTTCTCTTTCTATCTCTTGCTGCTGGGTTTTATTGGTAGTATATTGAAATGCTGATGATTTATGTGGGTTTATTTTATATCCTGCAACTTTGCTAAAAACTTAATTATTTCAATGGTTTTTTATTTGATTCTCTAGGATTCTCTAGTATATCATCATATCATCTTCAAAGAGTGATAGTTTTGTTTCCTTGTTGCCTATTCTAATTCCTAGCTAGCATTTCTAGTGCAATATTGAAATAATTTTGGTGAAAATGGATATCCTTGTTTCACTCCTGATCTTATTGGGAAGGCTTCTAGCTTATCCTTATTATAGATAATGTTTGTTGATGGTTTTAGATAGATGCTACTTATTTTAAGAAAAGCTCTATTTAGTCCTATGTTCTCTACCATTCTTAATAGGAATGGGTGTCAAATTTTGTCAAATGTCATATGATACAATCATATGATTTTTGCTGTTTTTGTTATTGATATGATCACTTATGCTGATAGTTCTTCTAATATTGAACCAGCCATGCATTCCTAATATAAATCCCACCTGGTCAGAGTATATGATCCTTGTGATATATTGCTGTAATCTCCTTGCTAGTATTTTAATTTAAAATTTTTGCATCGATATTCATTAGGGAAATTAGTCTGTAGTTTGCTTTCTCTGTTTTCATGCTTCAGGAATCAGGAATATTTTGGTTTTAAAAGGAATTTTTAAGTATTCCTTCTTTGCCTATTTTCCAAATAGTTTATATAGTATTGGAATAATTTTATAGGAAGATCTGTATCCTGTCCCTGGACTCAGATGGCTCCACAGAATAAAGTGAGGCTGGTGACCTTGCACGGCCCTCCCTCACTTAAATCCAATTCACTTGCAAGTCATGGCATCACCTTCCTGATGTCATGGTCCTCTTTGAGAATGAAGGACAAACAACAACCTAGTTGTAGTAGTCCTAACTGCCCCACTGGGGACCTAACTGGCCATTTTCAGTTGGGCAATGCAGCTTCTTCTTTCCTTCTTTCTTTCCTCTCTCTCCATCCATGTAGGGTATCATACCTACCTGCAGATGCTCTGTCCAAAAGAATGCAAATTTTGATGGCTGAAACCTAACAAGATATCTTGGGGTTTACACTCTAGATTTCTTTCTTAAAGACCATGCCTTAAACCCAATTCACTCTGGCTCACATCTATTGGCCAACAATAGGTCCCAGCCCAAGCCCCACTTAGTGGTCATAGTTTGGGTCCTGATGGGTCAGAATGAATGTAAACAGTAATTGTTTCTGTTTTGGCCAGAAACCCTGAGAGTCTTTCTCTGCCAGATTGATTTTTTTTTAAAATTAGGTAAAAGGGCCATTCCTTGACTCATTTCTAACCTAGCCTTAATCACTAAATCAGCATTGCCTCAGTCAAAGTGAGAACTTGAAAAGACCTTAGTTTAAAAAGGCCAAAATCTCCCACTGCATCTGGGGCCATCTCCAGTCATCCTGATCTATATCTTGCCATTAGACCCAGATAGCTCTGGATAAGAAAGTGAGGCTGGTGACTTTGCACAGCTCTGCCTCACTTAAATCCAATTCACTTGCAAGTCATGGCATTACTTTCCTTGTGTCATGTTCCTCTTCAGAATGAAAGACAAACAACAACAACCTCATCGGGACC